ATACCTGAAGAGATTTTAACACGCATTTATACTGCCAATTTAAAATCCTGTTTAATTTGCTGTCTTGATATAAATACAAATGTATATCAAAGATGATCGTATAATTTGGTCTGATAAAGCATATTTCTCTTGTCTTTTGATAAAATCACGTTTAGATATTTTTCATCAGGATTTTAACACAAAACCTACAAATCGAATGCTGATGTATATGATGTAAATATTTTAAGTTTAAGTATTATGACCATATTTGTATTATGTTTAAAGCATTGCACGGAAAGAGGACACATTTTGGAAACTATTGGCGGTAAGGTTGAAAAATTACTGATATGGCTAATGCATGTAAATATACTGTCTTAAACTTTCTTGACAAATAAGATACTTAAGTCCGTTACTTAAAAAAGTTTGCTTTTATTCAGTTGTACAACAGGACACTTCTGTTATACATGTAATCAATACTTATTCCTGTACAACTGTTTTGAAAACGAAATGTCCGCCATGTTTGATTTGGGTACCGTGCAGTTACCAAGCTTCAGTACCTGGGTAAGATTTAACCGTGGTTAAAGCGCGGCTATTGGTTTTGATATTTTTTATACAGTAACTTACCGCGAGGTTACCGGGCTGGTTACCGTAACCGTGTGGTAACCGCGCGGTTAAATTGTTTATACAATTGGCTGATGTATAATATAAGAATCTTACACTAGCTGCCGGTATAGACCGGAATATCTTGCTCAAAGCTAAGGTAACTGTTTATGGCGGTAACGAGGCTCTGCCGAGTTTCCGCTAAACAGTTACCCGAGAGCTAGTTATTCCAGTCTGTACCGATAGCCGGTGTTTGATTCTTTTTCTTGCATATTACATATCATAACGCACTATAGTAGTGTATGAACTTTGGGGTGTACGACAGGTTTTTTCCTACTACCATTGTAAACGGTAGATACTCTTGTCTGTTATGTGAGAATGTTTTAATAGTCATTCATTCACTAGAACTGATTTGTGACAAAAGAATAATATAAAAAATAAATGTCACTTGTGATGCATCTATTATAATTGATTTCCCAATTATCATATAATTGTGTTTGACTGTGATCTTTTCAGAATTGTGCACGGATGTGTACGGTCCATAACAATCACAAACGAGCATATTGTTATCACAGATCGTTTATCTTTTATTCAAAAAGATAACAATGTAGCAAACAGGGATCTTATAGAGAACAGAAACATTTGATTCAGGCATTTAAATATGTTTATCAATCGAGAGCATTCTTTCGAAATATCACTCAACTAGGTAAACATAAACTGAGACTTTTATCAAAACCTAAATATGAAGATAAAGACTTAAACATTATATTTAGCAAGCTCCAGTCCGTTTGCAGTACAATCCTAAAACGTATTATAAAATAATTTTAAGTCAGTGTACTTTTATCGACAGTTTTCAAAGGGTTAAATCTATGAAAAATGTGTTCATAATAGTTTTGAAAGATAAAGAAAAATTTGACGATTACCTTGGTTGAAATCATTTTTCAAATTATGTCCTTCAACGTAGAATCAAGTAATACTGACAGCCTATTACAATGTACCTTATATCGACCTATCAAATTACTATTTACGATGGTTGTTATAATAGTGAAGGGAAGATAAAGGTACTTTTAGTGAAGTGTATGCAGATAAATAATATAAATATAGGTTAAAATGCATTTGAAAAAAAAATATCGTAGGGAAATAATCTCTTTTTGTTATCAATACTACACAGTTCATGTTTTAAATAATACACAGTTTAACAATTATACTGTTTTCAAGTTTGTCATATTGATATAGAGATAAACAACATTTAAGAGAAACAACGAATCTTATTCTACTATCAGAATATATTGTAAACAATAGTTTCAAGTAGCATATTAAATACTTATTCTTAAACCAATGACACTAATTTAAGAATTAAATGGTACAAAATGACTCAGAAAATTTGGAGCCTTCTTTATCTTTCGACTTTTTAATTTTATGATATGCAATATCTTCACTCAAATACGATCAACAGTCGCGTATAAAATGACGATAAACAGACGAAAATACATGTTTGTAAGTTTTCGGTCTAGCAAAATTCTTTAATCATTCCATAGACAAGGATTTCTTGTCTTAACAGTTTATGTGTCATAATGAAGAAAGTGAAGATTGACTACCACTCAAGTCTATACTAGTGGTCATGAGGGATTTTGCATTTTTATAATATCCCTCATGTAAAGACGAAATCAAACCACATCCGCAATTTTCATGCAATTTCGGAGTGAATTATTCTTCCGGAGAGATTATGCTTCTTCCAAATTTTTATTATCATACTAAAATCAGCAGTGACCTTTGGTTTTTACGACGAGTACGACATTCAAAACAAAGTCTTGCACGATCATGTCGGACAACTTCTGTTAACTTTAATCATAGACTATCTTAAACTTTGATATTGTTAAATATGATAAATTACTTTTTATTTATGAATTTGAGGAGATCAGACCAAATCGTTGTCTGGGTGCTTGTTTATATTTGGAATGCAAACATTGTTACTTACAAAAAGACCAAGGCTACGCTTTATGTGTGCACAATCGAAAAGATTTATAATACCAGATAAGTCAATAACTTGTTTTTTAATATGTCCTTGCAATAGCGTTATTCAATATAATTTTACAAAAATACTGAAAGCATTGAGCTTGGCAAATGTTTTACAGGCTTTACTTTTACATATCTAAATGACTGCACAATTGGGAGCATAATAACACAATTTACATTAACGTTTTAATGAAGGGAATTCAAAGGATATTATAACGCACATGTGCAATACGAGTACGAGTCATTATATCCCACACAATTGTGTCTTGGTCATGAATGGAAAATATTACGTTAATGTTAACAGTCTTGTAAAATGCATATATGATTGATATGTTAACCGTTAATTTACCGCTGATAAATAATTGTTTTTTGTATAAAAAAGAAAGGTAAATAAGCATAATTTGCAGATAAAATCATGAATGCCACATTTTCTCTCTTTTGTTTCCTTTTGTAATTGAAGAAGATTTCCATGTATATAAGTTAAATTTTAGTGAAGCCTTAAACATATAGTGTATGCTTTAAACGACGCAAAGGTTTATTGATCAAGAAAGATTTTTTAAGATACTCATATCTTTGTCGATAGTGATAAGTATTCCTTTTCCAGTCTCCCGTCATATCCCACTTTTGTGACACCTAAACTTGTACCTTGTTCTTATCATTTCACGTATAGTTCTTGACATGTCCCTCTCCGTTGTTCTTTGACTTTTTGGTTGGACTCCTTCTAGATTTGTTTGTTTGATTGATTTGGTTTTACGTTACACCAACAAAGTATAGGTCATATGGCGAGGTTCCAGCTTTACTTGTGGAGGAATACCTCAATACCCCTTTCGTGCAATTTTTCAGGCACTCAACCACCGACATTCCGTAAGCTAGCTGTATAGCCTCCTCACATGAAAGAATCCAAAGTCCCTGTCGGGATTCGAACCCTCAGCGGCGAGGGAGACTCCTTCTAGATGCCCTGTTGGTTTCGCCGGGCTGCGTCAGGGGCTTTTCTTTTAACATCTATGATCTCAGCTTTTAATGGCAACTGGATATCGACCAAACGTTTGTGTACATAGTTTGCCCATTTCAAAATAGTTGTTTCGTTTTCGTTTAATATATAAAAGTATTATTTTGTACACTGAGGTACTTTAAAAACGCAGTTACGTAAACACCGACACAGACACAGTAACACAAAATCCCGATAACAATTAACATTCATATCATCTGTACAATAGTTTCGGTATTTATGAGGTAAACTATTGAATGAAAAAAGAAGTGTTAAAATGAGACGCCGTGTCATTTCAAAATCATGGGGGATCCGGACCGATTGGTTTTGGTCCATGAAGTCAAACTTTCTACCCCTTTCAATTTTGGGTGAGATCCCAACAGAGACTTGGATTCTGTCATTCGCGGGCCCTATCCAGCTAGCCGAAAAAAAGTTGGTAGATCTACTCCGGTGCCTGTTTGTGCTTGACATAATGCACGAAATGGCTTTTAAGGTCTTCCTCCACCAGTAAAGCTGTAACGTCGCCATATGATGTATACTGTGTTAGTGCGACCGTGTTGATACCCTGATCCTTGCCCACCCTAACCCTTCCATGAAAAAAAATGAAATAAATTAAAATCATATTAAACTTATCGTAACAAACGGTAAGATCAACAAGGAAAAGGCGGCATTCAATGAACGCAACCCCCACACGACACAGTAACAAGAACCATTAGCAAGGAACCACACATATTAAGCGTTTCTTTGAAACAGGCAAAAGTTTTATATCCGCCTTTTAACTTTATTCATTCAAGCCCTATAGAAGACATGTTTTGGTTAATTGAGATTTATGTCCCTGGGTAGTAAGTAATTAAAACGTCAGTCCGTCTGTCGTCTGCCCGTATAATGTTTACCTTAAGCTACCTAATTAAAATTCCACCTGTTGCGGTGGTTTTTGATTTTGTTGCGGTGGTTTATGAATTACACATACACAAATGCAATACAATTACAAAATCAATGATCTTGTCAGGTTACATAACTGTTTTTTTATTGTTTTTTTTTTGTTATTTAGTTTTTTCAATAAATTCAATGCTAAAACTATTTTGACACTTTTCTATCGTACGGCCTTTATATTTTGACTGGTGTCTTTAATATTTGAAAGGTACATACCTTGAATACCTTGATACAGATAGAGCTTGGACACTGAAAGAAACCAGTGCAAGAAATCTAGTTTACACTTTTGTCCATACAACCTTTACTGACCTATGTTTTAATATATGTAAGGTACTATGGATAGTTCTCTGTAACCTTAAGAGGTATGTGTATAGTCACATGGCTTGACGTCAAGGAATTGCGTTTATCTATTCTTTATCAACCTTAATTGTACAAAAAAGGAGGAAAAAAGAAAACAATGATATATCAGGAAACATTTTGTCGTAAAAAACAAAAGTTGATGTCTCTGTTAAACATAAAGAAGGTTCCTGTTTTACTTCTGCGTTTTTAAAGTTGCTCAGTGTATTTAGCTGAAACCGCCGATATATTAGAGATTTTTGTCCGAACAAGTCTGAATTTGAACGATTTGTTGGTCTTATTTTTGCCGGGAGTTTTCTATGTGAAGGAAAAGCATAGACACCCTGTGTAAATGCTAAAGCAAATGCTTAAAGGTAAATTTATTCGTCAAAATATTTCTGTAATTATTATAATTAGATTCTTTATGTTTTATTCTTTTGTTCAATGTTTTATTTCTTCGTAATTAAAATTATTTTACCAGGTGTAAAACAATACTCATGTTACGTATTACTATAAAACAATTATGTGTGTGGAGTAAGATAATTATAATTTATATTCTCATTGTAATCATTATTGAGGTCCAATAATTACAAATCATCGGTCAGAAGCGCGCATTCATTTGTATTTAATTCAGCTTATTGAACACTAGCAAAATTAGTTTTATAAAACTGTACCAAGGTTGCAAAATGTATTGCTTGAAATTTAAATAAAGTTACTTTAAAATGCCTGTGCGAAGGAAATAAGTTAGTTGCTTTTCATAAAAACAAATGGCGCATTCACAAAATCGTTGTTTATTAGTTAAAACACTGCTTAGCAGCATGCATAATATTTTATTCACGAACATTTCATTACCTTAACATACCATATTCACATGTTTAAACCCGTTACTCCATGAGCATTTTAGATAAAATGGCTGTTTTCATTGAAAAGCCCACATTTTTACAAGTTCGAGTTGCTATGAAACTATACAAACTACTTTTATTATACTAATCAAACTTGGCACAAATCTTAACTGGGCCATAGCCATTTTATTGGCATGCTCAATCTTAAATTTCTTGCTACCATGGCAACGAGGGGACATCTCCAAATTGTCAAACAACACTTTTTCAATTAAACTTATTTCAAAGTGATACAACTTATCTATAGCTTGAGATAGTGCCAAAGGCTTTTCAGTTTTGGATACACCTTACTTTAAGATCGCCTGAGGCCTCTCACAAGTCCACAATTGTCTTGACGTTACCGGCGGGGGGCGAAAAACAAGTGATTACATTTTGTAAAAACATTTCCCAAACAAAAAAGTGTGTGGGGCCTAAATATGACATTTTTTCCACTATTTGAGGCCTCAAAATTAAGGGTTACAACTGAATTATATTGTTTAAACATTCCATTCGATATTTCTTTATACCCTTTACACGGCGGTATTATATTAATTGTTAAGAAAACCACAACGACTGTGAAGTGTAGACATCAAAACAGTTTATGGTTAAAAATTGATTCGCTAGATGAATATCTTTAACAATTTCACCATATTCACCGATCAATATCACTATGTTCACCGATCGCAGTTTTAACTATTCCTCTTTACAATTTTCAATATATCAAGTTGGCAGGTAAAACAGTCTTGATATTTAATCAATATAAATGTTATAGGGATTGTAGATTTCAATATTGATAAAACTTTTGATTTTTTTCATTACAAATGTCAGTTGACATTGCACAATACTTTGAATACATCATATCACGTTTCTCACAATGCGAATGCATGATTAATGTAAACAATTACTTAAGCTGTAAAGGCCGTATAGTGGAGAAATGTCATTGAAAATTCGTGTTTTAATCATAATACTATATACCGTGTGCTTTAAATCGTGCTTAACAGTATCATTAATGCACATAGAATAAAATGTGTCTTATTAAATGAATTCATAATGTCATCAATCTTTTACTGCCATGATCAAGAAAATTCACCTTAGCAAAAATAATAGCCATTGTTATGCAGATTGAATTAATCAGATTTTTTTTTAAATTATTTAAGTCAGTAACCCGTCTGTTTATAAAGTTTTAACTATTGACCATAGATACGAGTAGGAACGAAATAATTTAATTAAGTTACCCAAGTTTGTCAAATATAAATGCATATAAATTATTTTTTACTTGTAACTACTATGTAAGTGTTAATTATGAATGTGATTGCTTTATCCTTATTTCCACTTAATGTAAATATCATTGTTATACACTATGTACAATAAATAAGACAAAACAAAGTATCTATTATGTTTAAATTGTTATTAGAATTCGGTTTTGATTTTCTTAAAATACAAAAATGCACTGAAATAAATAAAAAAAAGTGCACTTTTTAAAATAGTTCGTCTGAAACTCCGCTTTTTTGTTTTATCTACACAAAAGACTTCATTTACTACATTTCAACTTCGCTGTTTTTTTTGTTGGTAAACGTCATAACATATGAGCAACTCATTTTATAATGAACTTTTAATCTTTGATGAATATTTTTTGAATATAGCAGAGACGCAGAGATAACTATTGTATAAATATATACACATCATCGGCCGTCAACCAGTATTAATAATTAAATTGTCATATTTAAGATAACATGCTTGTGCCATCGAGTGTGCTAATTGGTTTCCACAAATTTGATATAATAGTTTAGTATGTTTATTGTCCATGGCGATTGTTTCGGCCATTCATTCAAACTTTATGTGATATATTCTTGGACATACATAGTGAATTCATGTTCAGGTACATGCATATGTAATTTCATAATCTGGCATAAATGATGATAATAATAATAATAATAATAATAAATAATAATAATAATAGTGATAATTAATTAATTAATTACTTAATATGCCTATTGATATCAATGAAGTCGTTAAAGCAGTTACATGTAATAATCTTAAAAATAACAAAGCGAGTGGTTATGATAACATAGTAAATGAACAGATTAAGGCCTCTCTCCTTCATGAAACATGTTTATGTCAAATTATTCAACGTAGTGCTTGATATGGGTCTAATCTCAGAACACTGTACAGTTGGAATCATTATTCAAATCTACAAAAACAAGGATGACCATGCAAAACCAGACAATTATAGACCAATTACATTATTAAGTTGCCTAGACAAAGTTTTCACAAGCATATTTAATAAAAGAATCACATTGTAGAGTCAAATGATATTGTTAATAACACACAAGCAGGATTTAGAAAAGGTTTCTCAACCTCGGATAATTTATCATTCAATATTTAAATAACACCGGAAAAAAACTAGTTTGCTCATTTATTGATTTAAAACAGGCATTTGATACTGTGTGGAGAAACGGTCTATGGGAAAAATTAATTAATGCTTATATACAAGGAAAATGTCTGCAGGTTAAAACAAATATGTACAAAGGAATAAAATCATGTGTGAAGCTAAATTTTCAACTATCTAACTTTTTCTCATATAATATAATAGTTCCGTCAAGAGGAAAATTTATCTCCCTGACTCTTCCCGATGTATTTGAATGATTTTAAAGATTTCTTTCAAAATAATTGTATTACACGTGGAATTTTGCTTCATAATGATCAGAATATAAACGAGCTTTACATTTTTTTACAAATCTTCATTCTGTTATATGCAGATGACACTGTTATTATGGATGAGACAGCAAATAACTTAAAAGAAGCGCTTAATACATATGAAAGATATTGCGATATTTAGAAACTACAGTCATCATTGACAGTTTTCAAAGGGTTATACTTTTACAAGTTTCATTTCAATTAAAAAAATAAATAAAAAGCAATGTTTCGACGTTTTTCCTGGTCAATATCAATCGTTTCTGTTTACATTTATTTTGCGGTACATAAATTGTGTCCTTCAGTGTAAATTCAAATGATCTATTACCTTATATCGACCCATCAATTGACTGTTTTAACACTTTATCGAGGTTTATCTTGAACAATAAAGCTCCTGTTTATAGGGCTTTAGTAATGTATTAACATAAATATTTGGAAAACAAAAACTTAGACCTTGGTCTACCATCCTATGTTGCCAATAGTGTAGGGTAGATAAAAGTACTTTAGTGACGTGTATGTACATAAAATCAAACAGGTTTAAATATATTTGAGAAAAAGAATATTTTAGGGAAATAATATCTTATACACAATTCTAATAATAATAATAACAATAATAATTCACAGTTTAAAGACTATACTGATTTGATGAAAATTGATATAGAGATAAACAAAGTTTGTAAAGGAAACAAACCTTAGTGTTCTACCAGAATTTATTGTAAAATAAGTTTCAATTCTAAAACTGATGACAATAATTAATGAACCAAATGATAAAAATGACTAGCAGCAAATTTAGACCTTTTTTTTGTCCACTTTTTAATTTTATGATGTCCAATAAGATCAACAGTCGCATATAGAACGTTATATTGACGAAGATACATGTATACTTAATAAAGTAGTGTGGTATTGAAATTCCAGTACCCCTTAAACCGGTGCTATGGGGCGTGAGGGAAGATGCAAATTTTCATTTTCCTTCATGTACAGACTTAATCAAACCAAGTCTGTGATTTTCATGAAATTTCGCTGTGATTTATGCTTCTGAGAGATCACGTTTCTTCCAGAATCTTATTATACTAACATCAGCATTGACCTATGTATGACTTTGTTCTTTATTAGAACGAGCATGTTATTTAATGCAGTGCACTATCATGTTGAACAACTTCTGTCAACTTGAAAAATAAAATATATTCATCTTGAATTTTGTTAAAATTAATAAATTATTTTTTGTTGATGCATTTAAGATTAGATATAACCGTCGTCTAGGTGCGTGTTTATATTTGGAATTGCAAACACTATTATTTACACACATACAAAGTCTACGCTTTTATAAATCCAGATCAAACTTACCATCCTGTGTCAATAATTTTCTTTTATTTATATTCATATGCCCGAAAAAATTTCGGGCATATTTTGTTATACCCCCTGGCGTCCGTCCGCCTGCCTGTCTGTATGTCCGCCGGTCTATCCTTCAGTTAGCAATTTGGTTTCTGGAGCATAATTTAAGTTCTATTCGGCCCACAATATTCAAGCTTCATAGGATAATTCTCCATATTGGGTAGAAGACCCCAGTCGATTTTGGAGAACAAGGTCAAAGTTAAGGTCACTTTTACCTTTAAACTAAAAACAATTTCCGTAGCATAACTAAAGTTCCATTCGGCCCACAATATTTAAACTTCATAGGATTATTGTCCATATTAGGTAGAAGACCCTATTGAATTGGGGGTCATTATGTCAAAGGTCATGGTCACTATTACCTTTAAACTGAAAACAGTTTCCGGAGGATAACTTAAGTTTCATTCAGCCCACAATGTTCAAACTTCATAGCATGATTGTACATATTAGGTAGAAAACACCTGTTGAATTTCGGGTCAAAGGGCCAAAGGTCAAGGTCACTATTACCTTAAAACTGACAACTGTTTCTGGAGCATAACTTAAGTTCCATTTTGCCCACAATATTTAAACTTCATAGGATGTTTGTCAATATCAGGTAGAAGACCTCTATTGAATTTGGTGTCATAAGGTCAAAGGTCAGGGTCACAATTATCTTGACACTGAAAATTGTGGTTTCTGGAACATAATTGAAGTTCCTTTTTTCAAACTTAATAGGATAATTGTCAATATTGAGTAGATGACCCCTTATAATTTTTGGGTCACAAGGTCAATGTCATTATAACCTTAAAAATCAAAGCTGAATAACTTAAGTAGTAATAAACCTACAGCTCTAAAATTTTATTGGATGAACAGCTATGTCCATTACCTAACCCCTATTAAAATTAGGCTTATAAGATCAAAGGTCAGGATCACAATGAACTTAACAATGAAAATTGTGCTTTTCAGAGCATAACACAAGTTCCATTTGGCTTACAGTGTTCAAACTTCATAGGATGATTGCCTATATTGAATAAATGATCCATATCTATATTGGGGACACAAGGTCAAAGGTCAATATCAAATGACCTTAATATTGTTAAAAGTTTAACAACTGTTTTACTTAGTAGGATGATCACTTATATTGAGTACATTAAGTTTATGCCCTAAGAAATTGCTTATGATTATTATGTTATATCCCTGGCGCTATTCTGTTCATCCGTCGTAGTAAAAAAAAATAATTCCCATGTCTTACAAATGCTTCATCATTTTTAAAAACTCACTTTCGGGGATATAATGCTCCGCCTAGCGGTGCTCTTGTTTTGTATTTATATTTTCATTTTTTATGCTTCTTTTCATTGACAATAGCATAATCGTTGGAGCGATGCCCCGAAATAATGTAAATATACAACAATACTGACACAAGCATTTAGCTTGGCATTTTTTACAGGTTTTAACCGGTTAAAACTCCCAAGCAGCACTTATGCTGCTGATCGTTCCAATGCGGCATACTTCTGTGTCCCTCGGATGTATGTCTTTGTTGTTTCATAATAGTATGGTGATTTTTTTGTGTTATTTCTTGTTTTTTCTCGTCTACGGTAAGTATCTACCCTTTTGTCCCTAGTTTATTTTTATTTTGCCCCTTCAACACCGTACCTAAAATTGCCCTTTTACTGAAGCTTTTTAGCAATCAATTGTGTTCGATTGCCTTGTCGGTTACTATTTGTTCCTTTTATGTATTACTTAATTGATTATTCTGTCCGTCTTCTGCCTTGTGTTTTGTCCTGTTTTTGTTTGGGTCCTCCTGGGACCCTGGCCTCTAATCCTTGTTGCTGGGTCATGCGGGGTTGGCGTTTAAACGCTTCCTTTCCTTGTTGATCTTGTTTATCATAGTTTTGACTATTACATAACTAAATTGACTGCACAATCGGGAGCATTATTATAACAATATACATTTATGTTTTAAATGAAGGAAGTAGAAATTCCTACAATTGTTGTAATAAACAAGGACTGTAAATAAAGGGACTTTAAAACGCACATTTAAAAACAAGGGAACCTGTCATGTCGCAAAAAGAAAAAATGACTAACCCGTATCACTCTTTTGCCGGATACGGATTTGTTTATGAATAAAAAGTCATTCTTTAAACCACGTAAAAATGGTTAGGATATATTGGTCAAGTAACACATATATTTGTCATTGGTGATAAGTATTTTTTTCTAGTTTTCCCATCAAATCCCATTTCGTACCCGTTACCAATTTTTTACACCCTAAACTTGTCCCTTGTTCTTATCATTTCACGTAAAGTTCTTGAAATGTCCCTCCTCGTTTGTCTCAGAATTTGTGTCCTCTCCAACTTTTGGTTCGATGCCTTCAGGGTACCCTTGTCGTGTAGTACGGATGAAAAACGCAGAACTAACTTTGAACATTTAATTCTATATAAGCGTTCTTCTCTGGTCAATTTGGAACAGTACTGGTCAACTCGCTGGTAAGCTTTTATATCATAATTATGTCAACGTCGTAAATATACTTTTTTCGTTATTATTGAAATACATGCACGTACTTGGAGTTACATATAGAATTGTTATCAATCATCCATGACATAATTTAACCACCCAATGTGCATTGTCAAGTAAAATACATTTGTACAATGTATATAAGTCTTTTTTAATGTACAGTAGAATCCCTCCTTAAGACCACCCCGGAATTAAGACCACCAAACTATCAAGACCATTTTTTATAAGAACGGAATTTTCTGTTCTTTATGTCAATGGTTACGTTATCCAGAATTAAGACCACCTCACTTATCCACCTTTAAGACCACCAGATTCAGTCCCAATTCTTTATTTTGTTCTTCATTTGACCCCGCTAATGAGACCATTGATTTAAAGTCAACACCTACCTAGATCTTCAATTTGTTGTTATGTTGTTATTTTCTGCTTAAAGGCATGACACTTCATTTCACAAGGTGTCAAAAGCACATTATGTTATTGGGATATTGTATTAAATTAGGTGAGAAAGTAAATTTTAGAGTGGTTTAATGTTGCTTTAAGCACATTGATTTTGCGATGAATTTATTTCTTATTTGTTGGGTGTATTATGTACATGTACATAATACACCCAACAAATAAGAAATAAATTTATAGCAAATTTATATACTTGCTTAATATTTGCAGGTTAAGATACATATTGTTTATTTGCACAAAATGACTTAAATAGACCATGGTCATAAAGTGTGTAAGCAATAAGAATACTCACAATTAAGACCACCCCACAATTAAGACCTCTTTGGTCCAGTCCCAATGGTGGTCTTAATTGAGGGGTTTTACTGGACTTATTATGAAGTAAATACATGTATCTGCTCAAAACTGTGTTGGTCCTTAATTTGAATTTTGAAAAATATATATACTTACATTAATAAACTTTAAAGTGCAGCTGGGCTGCGTTAGACGCTTTTTCGGTAAAAATTGCATTGCCTTATTGACCTTTGTTTTCAGCTCTGAATGGTTACTTGATATCGACCAAAGTTCCGTGTAAATAGTTTGCCCGTTTCAAAATTGTTGTTGCGTTTTCGATTCTTATTAAGGTTTTTGTACACTGAGGTACTTTAAAAACGCAGTTATTTAATTACGGACACAAACATAGTAAGAAATAATCCCGATAACAATTTACAATTTACATCATCTTTACAATAATTTTGGTACTTTTGGAGGTAAACTATTGAATGAAAACAAAAGTGTTACAATTTGTAGAAATACAATACAAAATCAATGATTTTGTCAAGTTACATAATTATATAGTAACATAATTGTATGTTTTTCTTTTTTTATTTTCTTTTATTTCGGGGGGGGGGGGTTATGGGGTTGTTGTTTATTTTTATAATTTTTATTTATTCATTTTAGCAGTACTAATATTATTTTGACACTTTTCCCTCGTACGGCTTTTATTAATTGACTGATGTCGTTCATATTTGATAGGTAGACACCTTGTTGTTTGATAGGAAAACACCTTGAATACTCTTATTGTAGGTAGAGCTTGGACACTGAAAGAAACCAGTGCAAGAAATCTATTTTACAACCGTTATTGACCTTTGTTTTAGTATAATGTAAGGTAGTTACAATGAATAGTTAGGTAACTTTAAGTGGTATTAAGAGTTACGTGGTTCTACGTCATATAATTGTGTATATTTATTTTTAGACTATTACTTTAATTGGCAAAAAGGGGGGGAAAAGAAAACAATTATGTGTCAAAAAAAAGACCAAAGGTTGATGTCTCTGTCTATATAATTTTTTCATGTATACATATCATCACGAAGTGAATGGTTAGAATCCTTTTGGCAAATTATTAACGGACAAAAATTTGTATTAGAGCATAAGTTTTACCAAACGAAAGTTCTTGTTTTATTTCTACGTAAATAAAGTTGCTCGATGTATTTAGCTGAAAACTTTAATGTAAAAGAACTTTTTACCCGAACAGGTCAGATCCGTATTTGTTCCTCCCAGGGATTGTCTGTAAGAAGAAGGCATAGGACGCGCTGTACCTTGGATAGCTAACACTTTAAGGTAAACATATCTGTCAAAATATATCTTTTTTCATTTCAAGTCGTTATGTTTCATTCTTTTTTTTAAGTTCACTGTGCATTAAAGATTAATTTACCAGGTATCAAACGATATAAATGTGACATATTTATATCAAATCAATTATTTTTGTTGGGGTTGATTATTTTTTAAATTTGGATTTCATTTTGATCGTGGTCTATGGCTTAAAAATTTAGGCAAGTTTAAATCATTTCAATTCACAGGACCGACGACCGCATTTATTAAAACTACTGTAGTTCATTTAATTTGTATACACAACCTGATTACACATTTATTAATTTTGTTTATATATTATTGTACACCTCTTATCATATGTAAATATGCTGAGTGTATCAATAAAACTTGAAACTATTATTTAGGAAATAGATATCAATTCTGAGTGCATTGTTGTAGAATAATGCACGATTTGAGTTCAAATGCGTAGTAATAAATTATAATCACGAAGGCCGATAGGCCTGAGGGATTAATTACAAAGCATTTGAGCGAAAAAAGTGCATTATTATACAACAATGCACGAAGAATTAATATCTATTTCCATTCTTACACGTCAAGAAAAAATATTATTATTATTTTAAAGTTGGACTTAATGTTTGGTGGTTAAATTTGTTTTCGCCTCAGTCTTTAAAGGCTATTCCAGTGGGTTGAAAAAATATGTCGTTAAATCTATTGTGTGTAGAAACATTTTGAGAATAACGAATTTTGAAAACCTTGATAAAATTTTGTTTGTTAATTTTATTTCACTCTATAATTTTTCAAGCGAAATACAAATTATTGAAAGTTAAATAAATGTAAAACTTAACTTGTTTGCGACATTAAAATAGCGTTCTTGATTCGATTGTCTTGCACGTGCTGTTTGGCGCTACATTGTGACGTCACGTAAACAACACTTTAAACGTCTGTACATCGTTAACGACTGAATTAAAGATATTGGTGTTCGCATTAATTTTCTTAGTTATACCATTTTCGTTCATTCTAGATAGTTTTCACAACAAAATTCGACAAAAGATTGTTTTTATTATCAGATTTTTCAAACAAAATGGCGCCCACACAGGGAGATAATAAGAACGGCGAGTGCATTGTTGTAGAATATGCACGCTTCGGGCCTTCTTTGTTTATATAGAAAAATTATTATAGACAGTGTTAGAATATTTAATTTATCTCATAAATACATCGACAGAATTAATTCAGCTTATTTCATTTTGAAATAGTCTGTGGGCTTTTTTTTTTCATTGTAGAACAGGAGACATCTGTTTTACCAATAATCAATACAAATTCATGTAAAATTGTTCTTTACGAAACAAAATCATCTACATACATACACACTTAAGCATAAATACACAGGTACTGATCTATGCTCGAAAGTAATTCAATTGTGTTACAGTTATATACGATCAGAGGTATAGAGTTTTAATTTTCAGTTACTCACTAGAATCAGGTTTGTAACAATGAAATAATATACAAAAATAACAGTCACTTGTGATGCATCTATTTATAATTGTTTTACCCAATAATCATATAACTATGTTTGACTGTGATCTTTTGAGAATTATTGTGTACAGATGTGTACGGTCCATAAAATCACAATCAAGCATGTTGTTATAACAGTTAGTTTATTTTTTACTCAAAAGCAAAACAATGTATCGAACTAAAGATCTTATAAAGGAACGTTTGAGTCAGACATTTTAATATGGAAAATCAGTCGAGTGCAATATTTCGAAATATCTGTCATGTTCAATTTAAAGTTATAAAAATAGACTGGGAATTTTATCAAAACATACATGTGAAGATGATGACTTAAAATTACACCTAGCAAGTAGCGGTCCGATGACTTATAAAAAGCGTCTTATATAGAATGTATATTTAAGTTGTTAAAATTCAATACACTTTTATCGACAGTTTTCAAAGAGTTTAACTTTGACAAATGTTATTTCAATTTGAAAGAAAGCGATGTTGTTAATAAACCCTGGTTAATATAGATCTTCTCTCTATTTATTTGTTTTGCGTAATGCAAATTGTTTCTGTCAATGTTAATTCAAATAATATTGAGGTTTTTTCAGGGCTTTAGAAATTTATTAACATAAATATTTGCAAAATCAAAAACTTAGATAATAATACACAGATTTAAGATGATACTGCTTCGATGAAAATTGATATAGAGATAAACAACTTGTTTAGAGAAAAAACAAATCTTAGTCTTCTACCAGAATTTATTGTAAACAATAGTTTCCAGTCTCTCATATAATACATATTCTTAAACCGATGACAGGAATTGAAGAATAAGATGATAAAAATGACTAACAGCGAATATGGAGCGTTCTTTTTTTCTCTTTTTTTAAATATTGTTACTCTAATAAGAATAACAGTCGCTTATAAAACGTTATATAGACGAGGATACATGTCTGTAAATTATCGGTCTAGCAAAACACATTGCTCATTCCTGAATGTTTTGTGATTGATATTGTTACTGTGTGTACCACACTTGCTAAATATTATATATGTATATAATTATGCAATTAAAACAATTTTCAAACACCGAAGAATATGTAAAATGTGTACTGCAAATATTTGTGCAAATTATATTTAATCAATAAATTACATGCATTCATTTCTTATTGGAAAATTTGACTTAAAATTTATAGAAAATAAATTTCTAATCACCTCCCTTTATTTACATGAAATGTTAAATTGGGTAATATTTTTATAAATAATGCTTTTTGGAACTTACAATATTGACAAATCTTAAATTGAGCATCATATTTATGAAATAAAACCATGAAAAAATTGTGCTACAGGATCTTTAAGGATGTCTTATCTTAACTTTAAACGTTATTTTTAAAAAAAGTATGTAATCACATAGAAAGTGTGGATTTGACAGTTGAGTACCCCTCAAGGCGATGCTATAGGGCGTGCGGAAAGTTGCACTTTTTCATTATCACTCATGTACAGACTTAATCAAACAAAGTCCGCAATTTTGCATTTTATTTCTCTGTGATTAATGCTACGAGAGATCACGCTTCTTTCAGATTTTTATAATACTGACATCAGCATTGACCTATGTATGACATTGTAATTTATTAGAACGAGTATGCCATTTAATGCAAATGCATGCACTATCATGTTGGATAACTTCTGAAAGCTTGGGCAAATAACATATATTGATGTTTGATTTTGTTCAGTATGCTATATTACTTTTTATTTATGCATTTAAGGAGATCAGACCAGACAGTCGTCTAGGTGCTTGTTTATATTTGAAAATGCAAACACTGTTATTTATAAATAGACAAAAACTACGTTTTAAGCGTGCACAAAAGTTTTATAATTCCAGATCAGACTTGCCATTCTGTGTCAATAATTTGCTATTATTCATGTTGTTTCAAAATTGATATTTCGTTTCAATAGTGTCAATGTTAGTGCAATACACTGCGATACAAAAATACTGAACTAAATCATTAAGCTCGAGGCTTCACTTTTACGTTTAAATAAAGGAAATATGATAAACAAGATCAACAAGGAAAGGCGACGGTCAATGAACGCAACTCCCACATGACCCAGCAACACGATTGATACAAATGATACGACGACTATAAATATATTTCTGGGTTAAAAGAGTGAAAAATACTATGTTAATGTTAACAGCTTTTCAAATGCATAAATTATTAATATGTTAACCTTACGCTTACCGCTGATAATTCTATATTTCTTTTATTAATTGGAAAGTAAATAAGCATAAGATATAAACATGAATGTCATTTTTTTTGTCTGCAAATAACAATGATAAACGGTTTATTTTCGATGAGGTTAAACGTTGAATGTAAATGAATCAAATTATAAAAAACAAGACATATTTTGGATAACAAATACTTAAAGATAAATAACACTGATCAAAATATTCCTTGGTTTATTTAATTCTTTAATGTTCTATCATTTGTTCAATGTAAAGTCCCTCGTACTTTAAACTTCAATAACTAGGTAACAAACAAAACAAATATCAATGTCAGTCAATAATTCTGGTGCAGGCATATGATTTTTTTTTTAATTTTATTGTTATCACGGTCGAAATCGTACAACGATAGGCACACAAACCGGAGGCTCGTATACCGCACGCAGTATTAGTGAGCTAAGCTCAATAAGCAGAAATAATCTTGATTTGTTTAAAATACAGGAAATGACTTCTGTTCATTTTCACAAATTGAAAATTTTAAAAATAGTCCACGAATTTTATCAAATCAATTGTTTAGTGTCTATTTATACCCCCACATAGTGCTATGTATGACCCGTTGTTTAAAATTGTTTGTTTAAAGGTAACATTATAGATTTCTTCATTTTCTCTTTTTGTTCGTCTTTTAAATTTGCCAAATCTCATGTTATCTCTGTTATGATAACTGTTTATGTAAAAATGAAAAAAAGTACTGTGGATATAATGTATTTGTTTATACAGAACAAAATGGTGGATCTGATATTTTTTTCATATATCGTGTCAAATGGTGATTTGAACTAGTTCGGTGATAATTAGTGTTTTTAGGCTGTAAAGCTGGCATGTTGATTACAATAGTGGCCTCCACAAATTCAATATTTCAAAAGAGTATTTCGTATTGATATTTGTTTAGATAAAGGTTTTGAAATTTCATATAAGATATAGTTTATGAATAGCATAAACATATCGATACAAATTTAAAGTCAATATCTAGTAACTTCACAATAGCTTTTGTATAATTAAAGCTCAAATTTATGGTCTAAAGTATTGTTACATTGTTACGATTTATGACAAATGACAATATGTTTTTGTAGTTTACAAAAGGATTCTGGCTTTAATACGCGACAACTGAAAATGATTGGCTAAAAATAAATAACATATTTGTTATGTTAAAGTAATTAACTTGGAACAATTTTATTACAAAAATATATATAATTTAAACGCTACCTACATTAAAAGATTGTTACTTCCATTTCCCAGTATGTAAAAAAATCTGCCATTTTTTACATAACACCATTAGATGTCATTTCTTACGATAGGCTTATTAAAGATCTAAAAGTTCTTCATCTACTTAGAGCTTTTTGCATACAATTGCCTATTGTATGCAACATTAAAATCATTAAAATGATATCATACTTTGTAATCATAATAGTAAACCAGAGTCCGAATGATTCTGCAGAAAATTGAAAATAAAAGAAAGGACATTACATGTACCAACAGCATATTCTAATATTTAAAAATATGTAACAGAAGACTAAATTTTCTTAAATTCTCAAATTTTATTATGTTTTTATAGCATAAAAATGATGCTCAAATGAAGGTTTTTTTAAAGGATAAGTTTCCAAGATATTAAGATATTACCGAATTTTACGTCTCATGTAAATAAAAAGAGGTAATTATAAATTAATTTTCGATAGAGTCTTAGTAAATTATTTTCATAAGAAATGAAAACATATATTGTAAAGATTACTTATTATGCGAATAAACATTTCCAGTACATATTGAACATATTGTTGGATGCTTGGGAATATGTTTAAAAATAATTATAAACATATATATATGTTGATACTATCAAAACCAGAGGAGATGTTGTGTTAGCTATGACGATCGAGTATGAAATAGCGCGTAGTTATGAATAAGCAAAAAAAATATCAACGCCTGAATCCCAGGCTAAAGTGTTGTTACAACATACACGATCTTCAAACATAACACGAACAATTCTTAACAATATACTGTTTTCTGAAATTATACCTTTAACCATAAACATTTTTCTATCAAAAAATCATCGAATAAAACAAATAAGCTGTTATTATTATTTTTTTTTCCATATAATATCATACATTATGCAAGATAGACTTTCCTATTCTTTACTTTAAGTCCAATGTAGTCATAATGAAGACAATTGTATCAAAGTTTGTGTACAGTTGCACTGAGCGTTATTGCTTTAAAAGCATTTTTAATTTGTTTTGCTAGTTATGATACTTTTATGTCTAAAATATGATAAACAAGATCATCAAGGAAAGGCGGCATTCAATGAACGCAGTCCCCACACGAACTAGCAACACGTACCAGCGGCAAGAAGCCCAGGAGGACCCCAAAAACAAACTGGACAGGGCGCAATGTAGAGCGGGGACAGGCTAATCACTCAAATTATACATAAGAAAATATAGTAGTTACTAAATTAACACGGAAATCAACAACAAAGTAAACACAAAATGATTGATAAATAGGCCCACGAAGTAAACGGGCACAGGGGAAGGGATAGGAGATTTAGGGAATGGGGGGGGGCAAAATTAAAAGAAGGGAAGATACTTACCGTGGTCGAAAAAACAACAAAGGACACAAACAAGTGTCACAATATGCAACAACAAGACATACATCTGAGGAACACAGAGGGGCGCTGCGTTGGAACGGTCAGCAGCATGATAATGACAACTTGGGAGTTTAACCCGGTAAATGGTGCACCAATAATGTTAACATTTCTTTTACTTTGCAATTTTGTCTTTCTGCAACATGATTTATAGTATATCACTTAAGTACCGTTATTTGTGAGAATACCGGTAATAAAAATGGGAGAAAGTATATCAATAAGTCATGTCAATAATACACAGTCAAATTCTCAAATACACACATATACACACACCAATCCATCGTTTGCTGTTATCAATATGTAAAATTTTAATATTAAAGTAAATATCCATGATTAATTTTTATCTACATTAATTTAACTGAAAATATGAAACAGGATCGAAAAGTGTGAAATGCATAATATAAACATATATTTTGCAATGAATGTGAAAAGTATGAAAATTTTATTTGTAAATTGGAATTGTTTTACGTTATACATAGAAGAAAGAAGCAGTTTAAAACTGTCAGTAAGCACAAGCTTTTTGTATTAACATGCACTGCTTCGATCAATTGATATACACGGCCTCACTATCGCAGCAGTTTATAAGCTTTGTATTTATCAATATTAGTTTATATAGTTTATTGTAGTTGCCTTCGCAGTCGTAGTAGTACACATGTAATTTCAACTAATTTTCAATCTTATTCTAAAATCGTCATTTCATTTGACTTTTAGTCGTGTCTTAGTCCAAACTGAATTATCTTGCAATATAGTTATTCATAATTGAACAGATAATTGAAACTTCATTTTACAACAGTAGGTATTAGCATAGCCGAAACATCTTGAGATACATAAATATCGTATATTTATGTTTTAAGATTGCATGAAATGGACAAAGATGACAACTTCTCAGATAAACAAACAAACATGGATCACAGATCAAAGATTGCATTTTTCGACAAGTTGGATATAGCCAACCAGGTATGGGGGCATATATTTCACACATGATCCTCTTTCAAAATTCTATTTTAACTCAACTTTTTCGTAGAAAATATTCAAGCAATTCGTACAGTCATGTTGTCATTGCCGTCCAAAAACGTAAACGTTGACAATTCTTGCGTAATTTCTTATTGGATTGTCTTTTTAATATGACACAACAACCATTTGGACAAGACTTTTAAGCAGATAAGACGACTTTGACCTTGACTCGTAAATTACCACCACCTAAAAGGGCAAATGTTTGATTTTTTTAAAGAAGCTATAATTAGCTTAAACTTTGTTCTTCAAATGGATTATCTTCATGCTTGAGCATAAAAGTCCCATGAACCTTCAACACACCGTACAATCAAATGGGCAGACAGCTGTTCCAGCGCCCACAGCTGTACCAGTATATACATGTCGGCGCGGGGAATACCATTGACGTACGGTAAGTATACATCTATTTTTAACATATCCCAACTGTATTCGAGTAAATCAATGTAATGGATTCATAGTCAACATCCAAAGGAGCATGCTACCAAATTTCTGGCCCTGTGCAAGCTTTACTTCACATGAATTTTGACTAAAAATAACCACACTATCCGATGAGATGCGGTATTTTTAGTTTGAAGTCACAAAAACATATATTTTCTCATGATAATTAATCCTTTTTTCATAGGATTCGTTAACGTCAACATTTCGTCATTAAACATTCCAAACCATACCTTCAAAAAAGCTTTTCTGTTAAAGTTATAAGGTATTTAAGTTTGTGTGTCATCAAAATTTTAGTAACGTTATCAGCTGTTCGCCTCTTTTTAATGATAACATCGACAGCAATTTATCGGCAAGAACGAATAACGCTGAAAGCTGTTCAAAGAAACAATTACATGTATTTACAACAGCGCTTTTGTCCTACAGTAACTAGGAAAGAGTAAAACTTTTTTGTTAATTAAGAATATTACTTTATTCATGATACTTTCTAATTATATTCTTTTTATTATTACTTTCTATTATTTGTTATATCTTAGGTTAGAGACCTTGATCTCCATTTACCGCACTGTATTTCAATATAAAACGGTAGCAAAACCTATTAAAGGGACTCCACTAAGGTTTTCTGACACGACGGGACTGGAAATATTTTTTTGAGATTATTTCTCCATTTGATGTAGGTCTATACTAATAACTTGTATGCAAAATTTCCGATCATTAGCTTGCTCCGTTTTTCCAGAATATTGTGAAAAATATAAGTGAAAAAATGACCCAAAGTTGAAAAGAGTTTAAACGCTTTTCACTCAAATCGGACTGAGAATAGCACAAACATATGATTTTCAATGTATTTCTCCTATATTTATTGGTTATATTTTATTAATATTTATGTTTTAGTGCTCATGTTTTTTTATGTGAAAAAATAAAATTTCATGTTTTTAGGCTTATAAACCTCAGTGGAGTTCCTGTAATAGGTTTATGAAATGTTTAAGTCAAAAGGCAAAGGCAAATTTAACGCTTAATATTCAGTCTTGTAAATGAAGGCATCCATCAAGTGTTATTATAAATAATTCATATAATGGACAAGTCCTATGCAGTGAATGGCTGTGTAACCCAAATTATGAAAGTGCATGGAAAAACATGTTGTTATTTATCCTTGAAATCTGTTTTAATGTATAGTGCAATAGAAATAATAACCATTCTTAAAAATTATACAAATTTTTATTTTTTAAATAAATCATTTTACATGGCAGACATCTCGGGTTACACATCCATTTACTGCATGGGACATGTCTACTATATGCCATTATTTATAATAACACTTGATGGATTTAGTTATAATACAGAGTATTCGTATTAAGCGTTAAATTTGCCTTTACTTTCTTTGAATTTAACATTTCAGAAACATATTAATAGATCTTGCTACCTTTTTATATAATAATAATAATAATAATAATAATAATAATAATAATAATAATAATAATAATATCTTTATTTAAAGAAGGTTATACAATATAAACATACTATAACAATCATATATATCTTATTTCCAATGTGGCCTTCTGAAATAGAAAACAACAACAACAACAGGACATGCATAGGAAGAAAAATGAATGTATAATATGTAATTTAATATTACAACTCATATACTTTCTACAGACAATTTGTTTTAACATATACGTATATTGCATCATTCGTTCGTTTGTTCATTCGTTCGTTCATTTATTAATTAATTAATTAATTCATTCATTCATTCACTCACTCATTCATTCATATGAACAATATCAATATTGAAATACAGTGCGGTTAATGGAGATATAGGCCTCTCAGCTAAGATACAACAAATGATAGAAAGTAATAATAAAAATAATATAATTAGAAAGTATCATGAATAAAGTAATATTTTAAATGAACAAAAAAGTTTTACTTTTTCCTAGTGACTGTAGGACAAAAGCTCTGAAAATTGTTTCTTTGAACAGCTTTCAGCGTTATTCATCTTTGCCGATGAATTGCTGTCGATGTTATCGTTAAAAAGAGGCGAACAGCTGATGACGTTACTAAAATTTTGATGACACTCAAACTTAAATACCTTATAACTTTAACAGAAAAGCTTTTTTGAAGGTATGGTTTGGAATATTTAATGACAAAATGTTGACGTTTACAAATCGTATGAAAAAAGGATTAATTATCATGAGAAAATATAAGTTTTTGTGACTTCAGACTAAAAATACCGCATCTCATCGGATAGTGTGGTTATTTTCAGTCAAAATTCATGTGAAGTAAAGCTTGCACAGGGCCAGAAATGTGTTAGCATGCTTCTTTGGGTGTTGACTATGAATTCATAACATTGATTTACTCGAACACAGTTCGGATATGTTAAAAATAGATGAATACTTATCGTACGTCAATTATATTCCCCGCGCCGACATGTATATAATGGTACAGCTGTGGACGCTGGAACAGCTGTCTGCCCATTTGATTGTACGGTGTGTTCAAATTGATTATGACCTTATACTCATTAATGACGTTGACCTTGAAGGTCAAATGAATGAATTGTGCTAAATGATTGTTATAATTAAGTACAATTTTGTTATATATGAATAGGTCGTCTTCTTAATTGAGCATAACTACCTTATGGACAATGTTTTACACATGAACAATTTAAATGTGACGTTTACCCATCAATGATCTTCAAGTCAAATTGCAAGTCAAATTATGTTCAGCTTAAGATCATCTTCTGTAATTGATAAATATACTGTTTTCATACTTGCGCACAACAATGCCTACGACCAGGCATTAAATAATGTATAATTGAATTAATTATTGACCTTCATTTTACTTTGACAATAAAGTTCAAATTAATGAATATTGCTACAATTGGACATAATATTGTTATTTATGGGTTTGTTTTATACTTAAACAAATGACAGCGTATGGTGGATAATTAAATTTAATTAATAATTAATCCTGACTTCTTTTTTTGTCTTTCATCGTCGAGGATTAATTATTGAAATTTTCTTAAAGTGTCACAACTTTGTCATTTATTTAAATAATTTGATAACACTGACATGTTCAATTATTATGACATGATCTTGACCTTTGTTTTACCTTAGCCGTTAATGTAAAATTATTGAAATTTGCTGAAATTGTCATAACTTTTTTGTTTACTAAAATATTTATTCATTCTCAGGTAAAACACACATAAAACAAACAGACATGTTGCATTATTCTTATATGACTTTTTATTTCAATTGACCTTGATAGTCAAAGTATAAATATTGATAGTGGCTAAAATGACCAAAACTTTGTTTTATGGATTTCATTCTTACTTTGCCGTCAACAGAACAAAGCTAACGAATGTTGACGGTTAATGTCAAATTATCGGAAATTGCCTAAATTGTTATAACTTTGTTATTGATTTATAAGTTTGTTTTACTCCTGGGAAAAACACTTTCAAAGTTGACATGATTATTAATTCAAAAACTACCCTATGCATTGAAAGACCTCGATCATCAAAGTCAAACATGAAGTTTAAATTGCATAATTACATAAAAATTGTGTTGGATGAGTAGTCTTTACTATTATATTTGTTTCCTCTGCTGTGTATGATTTTAAAAATAAAAATTAAAAGTTGAGCATGCCCCAACTAGGCGATGGCTATTGTTTTGAGGTCGGCCCATTGTTTTCTCGTTAACGTTTTACTTGGGGACCTTTTACTCCCTTTTAATTAAATGTCACTAAGGTGTGTCAGAATAATCGTACAATTTTACTCTAGATATTTTTTTGAACGAGTTCATGTCTTCCTACAGCGATACACCGAAGTGTATCATATTTCAATGAACAGTGTATTTATAAACCTGTTACTGAGGTTTAAATAAATAAATGTCAAATAGAAAATATGCAAGATGATGGAGAGATTTTACATCAGTTAAGGAGAGACACGCTGATAGTGTTTAGCGTTTATTTTTTTTTGTTGAGAAGAGAATTTGTTGTTTTGAAGGGAGTTTTGTTGATTTGTCGAAGTTGGTTGAATGTTAATGTGGTGATCTTAATTGATCAGGGTTTATTGGTTTTAATTAGTTGTTTTGGTTGATAAGTTATATCTGTTTGGTAAGCAAATTATTTCCTATTATCCGATCAATTATTTGTTTTCTTTGAGTTCCTTGTCAGTTACAAATTATTTATTATTTTAGTGATTAGCCTGTCCGTGCTCTGCCTTGTGTCCTGTCCTGTTTTTGTTTGGGGTCCGCCTGGGCTCCTTGCCAATGGTTCTTGTTACTAGGTCGTGTGGGGGCTGCGTTCATAGAACGCCGCCTTTCCTTGTTGATCTTGTTTATCATATTTTTTGGTTGAAAATGGTAAATGTTTGAAGTGTTTTGTTTGGTCAAGATTATATTAGTTGATGCTTTGTTTTTGTGGATATATGTAAATATTGGGTGCTTTACTTTGCTTTCTGATGCTGAATAGAGTTGGTGAAGATAATATTGTTGGTTGAATGTTTGTGGTTTACACTGTATTATACATGTAGTTGTAAAAATATTCATTTTTGTGTTCTTCATTTTGTGGTGATTTTATTGTTTTGTTTGATCATAAGTTGTTTAGAGCTTAGCCTTGTCAGGTGTCTAGTATTGTTTTGTATATAAGACGTTTACGTGAAAAGATATTTCGTTTAAGTGGCTGATAAATGATGTGTATTTGTTTTAGGTGTAAAAAATGATCAGATTTCTTTGTTTTGGGTGTAAATAATAATCAGTGTTTGTTGTTTAAATGTATATATTGATTTGAGATAAAAAAAAAAACAGATAAAAATACCTAACAAATAGTCTTTAACTAAACAATTACATGCTAGTATTTCTAACCGAGAATATTTCAATTTTATGTCAGGCGGTGCTTACCAGCCCCATATCTTTGACATTGGTTCTAGTAACTATTACTAAATCTTTCCTTATTTAAATAACATCGCTTGCCCCTCACCGCTGTGGGTTCGAATCCCGACAGAGACTTTGGATTCTCTCATGTGAGGAAGCTATCCAGCTAGCTTACGGAATGTCGGTGGTTCTACTCAGGTGCCTGTTCGTGCCTGAAATAATGCACGGAAGGGCATCTGAGGTCTTCCTCCACCAGTAAAGCTGGAACGTCGCCATATGACCTATACTGTGTCGGTGTGACGTAAAACCCAATTAAACAAACAAACAGACAAGGCAGTCATTCCCCTGACAACGTGTCACATTAAAAGGTCCCCTGATAACCACCGTATAAACCTACCTGCGGATGTTTCAAAATTTTACCAGTTAATGTTAAATGTTGAAAACTGCTTTTACCGATGCCAGGAGATGCTAACGGTAGCTTGCCATTTCCAGTACCGTCCATACAGAGGCTGAATTAAACTCAGCCTGCAACATTTTCATTCTTTATGGATCTGATTTCTCTGTATTTGTATGTTCCATCTGAAAAGATATATCAGTGTATCACTGGCTGGCTTGTTGTTTCGCAATCAGTATTAGTAATAGTAAATAGAAATGCTTATTTACATAAGAAAGTGATTTTATAAAATAGTTATGGTATTTAACAAATTAGACAAGAACAAAAAAAATCAACAAAACAAGAAACAAAATCAAAACAAAACATAATGATTCCTTTTACATGTTCACACTGTATTCTCTATAATTCTGAATTATTTGTTTTTGGTAGCCTAAGAAAACAGAAACGGAGAATCTAAGAAGAATATATCGTCAAGTACAGCCAGGTTGTATTATTGTTCAGCAAACGTTAGCTAGCTATCTTTTCAGCACATGTTTATACATATTTATACTATATAGTGTTATTATATGATGTTATCCTAGGCAATATGTTCACAAAACTATAACCGTTTTAATTTTTACGTTAATAGTCCAATAGTGATGGAAATTATGTTAACGACAATTAACAGATACGATTCATTATGAGTTCTATTTACATCGTGCATAATCTTTCAAATAACTGAATCAACGTGTATTTTCAAATAAAAATTATTGATATTCAAATAAATTTATACAAATATAACAGATGAGAATGTTCTTAAATAACACGATATAATGTTCATTTTAAAAAATGTTATTTTAATATTGTTTTCGTGTTTCAGCTACAATGATGGATGATGAGTTCCCACAAAGCTCTGGGAAAATTGCTCAGACAAGGTAATACTGAGACTGAAACTGTTCAAATTTTACGTCGAACAATAAGGACCAACAATGAAATTGACCATGAACTTCGTTTAAAACTAAAAAAAATTGTCTTCCAAAACGAGTATTAATTAATTATTAATTGAAAACTCATTTCTAATACAGTGTAACATCTGAAGTCCGGATCTTCTTATATCCGAAACTTAAGAAATCCGAATATTTTTCAAGGTCCCGAAATTTCTCCTTCTGTTTTAAATGTAATTATTAACTCTGAATTACGCAAGTTTATCTTTATACCGAACACATTTTTGGTAATACTTTAGTCTTATCAATTCAAATTGACTTCCAAAATCCGGAAATTAAAAAAATGTGTGAATGAATTTATTAGTATACTTGAGATTGTAAAACTTTCAAAATGTCAATATCTTCCAATTAGAAGTAACCATTTATTTTTACATCCATAAGAATCACAACCTGTCAAGCATCTCTTGACTAAGTGTGAAAATTAAGAAACTTGAGGAGTATTGATGAAGCAATGATAACAGGTAAATGGATGGTACTACATTTGAAATATACTAAAGAATAAATTGAAACAATTATCAAAATTTATTGTATCAACAAATTAAATTATAAGTAATGAAATTTTATAAAGTTTTAAACTAGTTAAAATACTAATAATTTTTGCCTTTTATGAATCTAATCAGCTTTATATTTTTCATTATGTAATACTTAAAAAGTGATGGTAAATATTTATACTTGTTCAAATAATTCACCAGTCGGTGAATTTCAGAAATTTTAAAGTTTGAAACCGAGTGTTTGGTTTTCAGAAGTTACACTGTATTTTCTGATGTTTTCCTTTTTGCACTGCCGTTTAATTTGCTTCTTATTTTGTATTTTGCTGCTTTATAGCTAGGGTTTGCTAAATTCATGTATGCTTTTTGTTGTCTGTTTCTCTGGATATTGATTAATATTACTTTCCATAAATTCAGAAGTATAATTTGTAAAAACGTAAAATTTTAATTAAGTTTCATTATAACCTTGTAACAATGACGATTTGTTAAAAGTAATACTTTGTTGATATTAGAAGCAGGTGGTCGACAAAGGATTTGGAAATTTTCCAGCATCCTATGTGCTTGATTGGCGCCGTATATGTAAAAAACCAGAAAGGACAAGTAACTAAAACACATTTAGAAATTCAAGAAGAAGCGCTTGATCAAATTTCGAAGATAGATTTGCCAATAGTTGTTGTAGCCGTTGTAGGTTTGTACAGAACAGGAAAGTCTTATCTAATGAATCGTTTGGCAGAATCGAACACAGGTAGTTATAATTAAAATATATGCAATTGTATGTGTGTCAAAACAATTGCAAAAAGTGTTGATTATATTCAATGTATAATACGCCTTACATTTTATTAATATGAAAAGTTTATATTTGTAAGTAAAATGATTCATGTTATAATGACTTGGACTTTATTATGAAAAAACAAAGCATGTTAATGCTTAATTTTTTTTTGAAAATAATAATCTAGGTTTTGCATTGGGAGACACGATCGAATCAAAGACAAAAGGTATTTGGGCATGGTGTAAATTACATCCAACTCAATCGAACACTGTTCTGCTGCTTCTCGATACTGAAGGACTCGGCGATGTTGCAAAGGTATGTGAAAATAATCAAATACATGTCAATCTAGAAAAGGATAGATCTCATCGAGAGCAATTAAAACAAGCATTTAGTTATCATTTGCAGAGTTGTTTGAATTGAGTCTGATTGTTAAAGACATTGTTATGTGTAACATCTATCACTCCTAGCACCGGCGTAAGCGGTTAAGTGTGTTTAATATCCATAACAATTAATTAAAGATATAAGCAAATTTGATAATCTCCATTTCACTGATGAATTATTAATAAATAACATTTTAAATTGTGTTTCGAAATACAAAGACAAAACATATGCATTAAAGGGTGACCGAAGCCATGACAACAAGATTTTTATCTTGGCGACGCTACTGTGCAACTGCCTTGTTTACAACATGAAAGGAGTTTTTGACAACGATGCCGTCGTTAAACTCACGTATCCTTTTATTTTGAAATATAGTTAATATAAACATTGTTTACTAAATAAAGTTTAGTATGTGCATAATAAATACAAGATACGATAAGTTTATTATTTCTACAATCAAACGTTTGTTTTTTCACAACATATTTTACGGATTTCAATTTGATAATTTGCACCAGGAAATACAACAAGCAGTTCTAAATAAGAGGTTTTAAATGTGCTAATAAAGTACAAAGGCATTGTCAATTCATATGTAGTGACGACATGTTTTTTGGAGCATTGTAAATTATTTGTACATTTACGAGGGATGTTCGAATTGTATTGCTTATTTCTAGCTGGAGACTTCAAATTTTAAGTTAGCTCAAAAGCGTTTATTTCATGCCCTCGAAGTACTCCCCGTGGCTAGAAATGCAAAGTTTCAGCCGATGTATCCACTTCTTGAAGGCGTCACGGTACGCTGATTTGGGCACAGTAATAAGGTACTGATGAATGGCAGATCCAAGTGCCTGTCGGCACTTGTATTTCCGCCCAGCAAGGAAGGATTTCAATTTCGGAAACAAAAAGAAATCACATGGGACAAGGTATGTAGAATACGGGGGGTGAGGCAAAACAGTTACGTTTTCTTTTATCAAAAACGCCGAAACTATTGCGGAGGTATGAGCGGAGGCATTGTCATGTAGAAGACGGATATGCTAAAAACCAGTGACAGGGCGTTGTTTCTTTTAATTCCTTTTCAGTTTCTTAAGTACAACGTCTGTGTAGCACTTCCTAGTGATACGTTTGTCCTTTTTCGCCGGCACTTTTATTGAGATCCTTCACCAGAGAAGAAAATTGCATACAAAACCTTCTTGAAGTCAAAGACCGTTTGGCAATTTTTGGGCGTTTGTTGTGTTTAGTGGCCCAGATTTTGTTGCTTTCTTCCCTGACGGGCTCAAAATAATGAACCCAAGTTTCATCATCTGTGACGACATTGGCAAACTGTTTTTGTCATATGTTGGAAACATTTGTAGCAGCTTTCTGGCCACCTTAACCCGTTGCCTCTTTTGCTCATCGGTCAACATATGTGGCACCCATCTAGCAGAAATCTTTCTGACTTTCAAATGCTTCTTCAAAATAAAGTGAACCGTCGATAGTGATATACCTAACTTTCGTGCAATATCACGAACTGTAAATCTTGCATCTCCTTCAATGATATCCTTTATTTTAGAAACCATTTCGTTACGAGATGCAGATTTTGGCCTACCTGATTTTGGTGCATTTTTGATGCACTCTACACCAGACTTAAATTTCTTTTTCCATCGCCTAACTGTGTCCTAAGGCACACAAGAAGGCCCATAAGCAGTAGAGAGTTCAGTTATTAACTGCCTCAAAGAGCAACCCAGTTTTGATGTAAGCCCGTATTTCATCTTTTTTGTCGACGCTTCTACCAACCATTTTTACTACAGTGGTCAATGACTGCGTGTGTTTAAATTGCAAATTGTATGCTTACACTTAGTCTTACATGTACATTTATGCAACGTGAATTACCCTATACAGGTATGTATTGGTTTTTATCTATCACGAGATAGAGGATAATAAGCATTTTTTTTCGATCAGCCCTCGTACATTTACTCACTGATATTTTATCCGTTGTCATTTGAACTTCATTATTACAACAAATTATTTAAAACTGTCTTCTGATGATTACCTTTGCAATGATCATTTAGTAGTTTTTAACGGTTTGTTTACATTTAAATGTTCTTTGTTTTCGCACTCAGTAAACTATTTAACAAAACCCGTACTCATCTAGTACATAAACGAAATAAGAACAATTTGTGATATATGTTGACATAAAGTATTTAAAACATGTGGATACATTTTTTAGTAATTACATTTTTCATCTGAAAAAAGCGTGCGTGGAACGCACGCAACATGAATAAAGATTATAGCTCTCAGATAAATCTTTGCCTTTCTAACTGTGTCTTGTTATAATAATCAAATATCAAGTTCTGCACGTGACACATTTGAAAAAATAAGTAATAAGCTGTATTATAGATGTTTCGCTACGTCAACGACGACAACATTTTGGATGTATAATCTTAACTGAAATACTTTAGATTTGTAACTGAGATGGCAAAAAGTATAAAATTTCGGGGGAAAGCATCAGAAGATAATCAATGGATTGGTCAGATACTTCCAGACTTTGTTCTATGTTTGAGGGATTTCAGTCTAAAATTGATCAGTGCTGGGAAAAAGATATCAGAAAATGAGTATCTTGAGCAAAGTCTAGCTGACAATGAATGTCAAGCCGAAGAGTTCAACAAACCACGAGAATGCATAAGAAAATATTTCCGAAAACGTGAGTGCTTTGCATTCCCAGTTCCAGGTGATGGAGATGTTCTTGAGAATCTCGAAACTTTGAGATTAAGCGATTTATCTACCAGGTTCAAAGAGGCAACCGCCCGTTTTGTGTCATACATATACAGTCTACCACCAAAGGAATTGCTCGTTAGTACACCGGTAAAGGGACGAAGTAAGCAAATAATCAATAATGATGTTTTTTTTGTGCCTTACATTACACGGCATTGCACCATAGATAATAATGATTCACTTTTGTTAGTAAATAAAACAAAGCTCCACGTGAAATATTCTGTATATTGTAAGTTTGTTTTTAGATTTCTTGCATTTTGCATTAAGCTTATTATTTTTATTGTCAAGTTGAGCTGATTTGACTATATATTTTAAAAGATTGACTGTGATATTAACGTTTGTCCAAGAGTTGGTATTAGAAAATGTTTAGAATGGAATATAAATCTGCATTAAATATCAAAAGACTTCCCAACTGTTGTATAGATTCAACGTTATTGATATAAACACAAATTCCCTTTGGCCATTGAGTTATTTACCGTTCGTGCGAAGTAAGTTATAACATTGAATGACATTGCATTTGCAAAATGCAAACTTGTAGTGACTGTCACCATATACACCCGGATGAGTATAATGATTTTGATTTATAAAAAAGGAAAACACGAAAGAACGCCCAAAACGGCAAAAATGCAACTGTTGCAGGCTTGGTAGAAATTGTTTATTAATGATTTTTTATCATACAGACATGTTGTTTCTTCATTTGCCTTCATTCAAATATACAATGGACTTATGTAACTTTTTCAGTGTTTAAAGTTTTGGTAGAAGAATACGTAACAGCTATAAGACAAGGTGCTGTTCCCGATGTGGATGGCGCTTTTCTAGCTGTTGCAAAAATTGAAAATGAAAAAACAAAAAAAATCGCTGTGGACAACTTTGAAAAACAACTACAAAAAACAAAACTTCCTGTTTCTAGTGATGTTCTGATGACGGCTTTCACAGAGGCAGAGACAGAAGCGCTAAATTATTTTCGAAAAAATGTTGTACATGATAAAGACTTCGAATATGAACATCAAGCGCAGGTATCAAATAAAAAGCTCTTCCGATAGAAAAGACAAAATAACGGTTCAAAATATTTGATTAAGAATTTAGTCGCAGTTAAGTCTTAAGTTGCTTAAGCAGGGTTGGTGATTAGGTGACATTTGTTTATAGTAAAATTGGGTCACCGCTGATAGTATTTGCTTACCTTAAGTTATTTGCTAATCTCTCGGTATATCTTTCAAATTTTAAAAATTAACATAAACCATTAATTTTGCCGATTCTAATGATACATAGCTTTCTATTCTAATCTTTAGATCTTTTAATTGTGCCGTTATGTTTGCAAAACATTTTTTCATGAGGCAATATTGTGATGAAATTAGGTGGTAACTTCTCCGCACGCCTATCGAGATAAGTACAAGAGCTATATTGGATAATTATGTACCGTTGTAAACTGCAAATATTTATCATATTGAACATGGTATATATTTGCTGTCAAACTATTAAAACCTATAACAAAAAGATAAGCAAATAACATTAGCGGTGACCTGATAACCGATTCCATTAAGCGTTAGCTCCTTGTTGACCGGTTTCTTAAGGCCGTCATGCATTTTTGCGTTGCCTAAAATAATAAAATAATTTAGTTTTTATCAGGAAGATAACATCAATTTGAACTTGTTTTTCACTGAAATATCATTCATTTCTAATCAGATCGAAATGGATCGCATTTGGAATCAAGTAAAAGAAGAAAATGATGTAAAGGTCAGGACAATGAGCAGAACGAAACTGCAAGAGGCTTACGAGAAAAACATGAAACTAAAGATACAAAATGACGATTATAAAACAGCAGGAGGCTATCGAAAGTATCAGTGTGATGTCGAAAGTTTGCAGAAAGAATATTTCAGTTCTCTTCGTGGTTTTAATGAAAACGAGGTTACAATCATTTATTCGATTGTATCATAAACAATTATTTATAACTCAATGTCTATACAATAATGTTTGTTTTTGCAAAGTTTTCGATATTGCTTTAAGAATACATGGAATGAAAATATAATTCAGCTTTCAAAACTTTTCAACCATTACCTTAATTCTTTTTTATGCATCCATAAAGCTTGAAAATCTGTATAAAGTCACTTTAATTTGTTCTATTTTATTTTTCATGAGTTATTCTGAAATTTTTCTCTGCATTCTTACAATTTCTAAATCGGTATTTTACGTTATATATATATTTCAAATAAATAAATAAATTTCATTGTTTTACGTAGATATTACGGAGTTGGCATGAATTTGTAACTGATATGAAAGAAACGGAAGCAAAGATTGTTCAAGCTGACGATGACTTGTCACAAAAGGAGAAAGAAGGTATTTGAATTCACGCAAACAAAAATGTTGTGAGCTCATGTAGTCGCATTTGTCATGTGTCAATCCATGCGTCAGCAAATATTGTTTCATTGCTATCAGTGTCTTTTTTGTATATATGGTTTCACTGTACATGTGTATTACTTATTTCGTCAGATGATATCATTTTTCCATTTGAAACGACCATTTGAAACGACCAGACAGCGTTAAGCTCTGCAATATTTTAGCCGATGAAAGAGTCAAAAACGGGTTAATTGAACTTATCTTTTATGAAAGCAATTCCATTTTAAAATTGAGATTTAAAAAAAACTTTCAATAATGTCTTCTTTTATAAAAATGTTAGGTCTTATGATGTATAATGGAGTCATGATCCTTGGAAAACAAGAATTATTGCATGCTGCATGATAATGGATGTTGGTACTAGCGTTACGGGGACCTATAAGTTGATTTTTTTTCAACCCCTGAGAAAGTTCGGCTTTTACTGTATTTGTATGCGCCAGGCAGACAGCCATCCGTCTGTTAGTAATTTCTTGTTCGCCTTTTATCTTTTGATCCAATGGAAGAGAATTTAAACTTTTTGGCAGACATATAAATATTTGTGAGATGTGCAGAGCAAAGGCTTAGGCTTCTTCAGGTCAAGTTCAAGGTTACACTTACTTAATATTCATAATCCTTATATGTTTATATATAACGAAGGAAGACGTGTATTCATGTATTAATTTAAAAACATGCTTACCTTCCTATGCATAAGTATGTCACAATATACCTGTCTTTATTTCCCAAAATATAAGTCTCTATAATTATTCGGTTTTTCCACGAACTTTTACTTTTGTTCTGTAAAAACTATAAATCATGATTATTTATGAGATTATTTCATTATTTTGAAAATTTTGACGACGTTATTTATCAAAATGATGAAACCAAAATTAAGTAATTCACTAATTTACAACTAGTTGTTAATAACACATATAAAAGATCAATTTTTAAATGTAAGTATATGAATAAAGAATGATCGAGTACCTGCAGTATTTAGTTGTGAAAATGTTACTATTGTATTTTTTTTTTGCTTCGGTGAATCATTCTTGAAATGAAAGACGGATATGGGTTTTTGATCTGTGTAATGTTGCTGTATCTTTTCATGATACATCACTACAACGCACATTTTCAAAAGAAAAAAGCAAAGAAATGATAAAATTAGTAAAAGGAAGGTTATAAAAACAATTACAGCTTTTTTGAAGGGTTGAATTTCAAAAACCTCTTATCAATGGGAGGTAATTAGAATACATTTTCAAATGCTTGAAAATATTTTATGTTAATGCTTAGCTATTTGGCATGAAGCATTTCCGTGTTGACTTTTACAACAATTATATTATTTATGTTCCTATGGTCATTGCAGGGTCTGTCCAAGGGAAGACTAAGATATCTGAAAACCTATTCACATGAATGACATCTTTTGTTAAACTACCACCCCAAGATCTTAGTTATTTGGCACGTATCATCGTCTAAAAGAACCCTAATATAGTTACAAAACCATTACACTGGTGCTAAATTTGTATTAGAAGTTCCTTCCTGAAACCTACAATGTGTACAACATAGCTATTCCATTTTATGAAGTGCTGTTATGTAATGCAATTATTTCTATGAACGTATTCAACTTTTATTAATGAATTTATATCACTTGACCCATATTTACTGTATCTATAATCTTATTCTTTCCAATCCAGTTGAATTGTTCATATTTTCGGTGTGTATTAAGCAATCAAAAAATGACAGACATAGTATTGCGTATGTTTTATTCAGAGGAACAAAAGCGAAACGAAGAAAACACCCGGCAATTACTAAAGAGACAAGAAGAAGCAAATAAAGAAGAATTTGAAAAGCAGAAAAAAGAACTAGAAGATCATTTCAAAACAATAGAAAATGAACGAAAGAAAAAGGAAGAAGCAGACGAAAAAAAGTTAGAAGAATTGGTACATAAGAAGATGGAGGAAGAAGCAGCGAAAAAAGAATTAGAATCTTTAAGAGCAGAAAAAAAGGACAGAAAAAAGAGAGGTTTTTTAACAAGGCTAGGCGATGCATTATGGAACACGTAAAGATTAACATTTTTTTCAATTAAAGGCTTTAAATCAACAATTTATTGTCGGTTTCCAAAATTATGACATATTTCTTTAAACACTTTTCGTTTTTATTCAATAACAAAAAAGTGAAGATGCGACAAAATTCATATACATAAGTTTAGGTTTTATGTATAATTACTATTTCTGATTCTATTAAAAACGCCAATTTAATCTCACGACTAAAATAATTGAATGATTATTATATTGCCTAACATGAATTCATTAGTTCATGTAGTTATTTAGTTTAAACGATGTTTGGTATTATGATATAATTGTAAATACATATATTTTCAAATGGATACCCTATATCTTAAAAAAAGAAATTCGAATTATATTTTTTATTTGCCAAAATTACACATGACATATTTTCGGAATAGTACATTGAATTGACATATCAACTAACAAATTAACAGTTTTACCAAATGTTTGACACAAATATAAGTGTCAGTAAAGTGAATTTGTTTTTAATGAAAGGCCTGCAATTCAATTACTAGACTAGTATTGTGCGTTGATAGTATTTAGGAATAGACATGAACAACAAACCATGAATGAATTATAGTTACAAGTAAGTTGCTTGTAAGTGTGATATTAATGATCCGATATTGAATATAATAGCAGCTAATAACGTGTTACAGAACAGAAATATCCTTTTCCATTAGATAAATTTTACTCTAAATCATTTAGAACGTTATCAACGCATTTTTTGTCAAGCAGCATTCATTCATAAAAAGCCTAATGATACATTTCTATAATTTTCTTTTCAATATTTAAAATACTTGTAGACTTATCCACTTCAAAATAGTGCATTTATGTCTTAACATCCAAATCAGAAGGAGCAGTGTTACATGTTTCAATTAGTTTCAATCAGTTTCAAGTAGTGACACTAGTGGTTGTGGATAAATTATTTATAAATTTGGACTTATTTGTAATTCATTTAAAATATGTTTGCTTTGTAATTTGATTTTGAAAAAGATAGTGTGAACGCATATATGTTTTGTTTAATATTACAGCATTTATTTGATTTACTTTTTCTAATATTATGTTGTTCTTTTTATGTTTATGGTTGTTTTTTTAGATTTGCCCTTGTCCGTCCGTCACCCTTTAACGTAACAAAAGTTTACAATTTCAACTTTGTCGAGCGTACCAAAGTACCCCCAAAACAGTTTTTTTTTATAAATATTGCTCTTGACTTGGTATGAATTTGCAATTTCAACGTGGTTGTGCGTAGCTCAAATAGTATTTGACCGGGAGTCCTGAATGCTTACAGAAATATTGATCGGCATGTGCAGTTCTGCATGTGGGGATTTGCTTGTGGATTTATTCAATATTTGTAGATACTATTACAATTTAAATTTTGTGTCACGTATAACCGAAAATATATTTGACCCAGTGTCAGTAGAGTATAGGGGCACCTGTGTTCAATGGACACATTTCTTTCTCTTTATTTTTCAATTATATTATTATTTAATTTAGTGGGGTTTTTTTTATTATTATTTCATTGTTTGTCTGGTTGTTGGTGACAGGGTGTGTTTGTTTAAAAGGAAACTAGAAGATATACTAGTATTTGATTCACATAAATTGAATGCAACATTATATACTTTTCCTTTGTTGTTTATCATTTAACGTCTCTTACGCTAATCAGATCATATTAAACATATTTAAAGAAAAACGCTGTTGTCTCATTTCCTTGTTGTACTTCAGCGCTAGTCAAACAGTACAGAGATTGCCCATTAAAAATTGACTATTAATGTGTTAACAATTTATTCAAAACAATTTATCCAAACAAAAATCAACAATTTGTTTAAGTTCCACGTATAAGAGTATTTCTAAACTTCTTATGCCTATGTAAAAACCGGTTTGATCGCATGGCGAAAAAATAGCTTTTTCGGGAAATCCGAATTATACAGAAGACCGTCATCTGATCTACATAAAAGAAATAAGTAGATCTGAACTTTAGTCAGGTTGGGACAAAACAAACCGTTCTACAGTTTTGTAACCGCTGGCAAAATAACATTTAAACATTGATGAGTAGACATTTGAATTACGTTTAGTTGTGTTTTTATTAACTGCATTAATATGAAATGTTCAATCATTAACATTACGTTAAAAAAGTGCTCGTGTGATTTACTCAAAATTAAAATGATTTACCGGTAACTTTATTACATTTCATAAAATTATCCCGTAGAAACTGACGTTTTGAAGATAAAAAACCCAGCAAAAGAAAGAAAAAAAAGTTTGAAAGTCAGTGGCCAACATATTCACGTGTCAATTTTTGATCATGTAGTTAAGTAAACTTATTTCTCATAGTGTACTGTAAAATTATCGGTAATTGCCTTAGTATAATCTTTACAAAGTCCGGAATCGAATATATTTAAAAGTTGCGACCACAAACCGAAGTGACATATACATGTATATATGCCAATGTAAAATATTGATAGATCATGATAACGATATGATGTTAAAATGTATAACAGACCAAATTGCGTTTGATTCTCAGTCGACTAGATCTCCTACAGGACCACTATACGATCGCTTCTCTACCACTGAGCTACTTGAACGCTTCAAAAAAATTTACCTGTCAAACAATTGGGTAAGATACCCAGCCATGTCGACCAAGATAGACCGTTACGACTAACCCGATCACACATGTAGAACTAGACCGGTATCCGATCCTGCTTGATCGAGTTGATCTGATGGACGATGAGAACACACCATAACATTTTATGCAACATGAGGTCATATCTTGTTGTTGACTGTGATCAATTAAGTAGCATCACCCTTGAATCACAGCAAGATAATTGTATTGCATGGTTTAAAAACCACTAAAGGCCCGTGTGTAGATTTATTAAAATACAGCATGTGAAATAGGTAAATGATGTATAATAATATATGACCGTTAATTTTGATAAAAATGGCTATGTGTGTTATAACAATCAACGGGGTTATCAGAAATCGTGTTTAGTTGCAGCAGTAACATCAAAAACAATGCGAAATTTTATTTACATAATCTTTGTTTACAATACTAACTTGTATTGCACGCTAAATAACACAAACTATTAGATATGTTGATGTATTTGCGAGACATATTTACACATAAGTTTTGTTTGTTTGTTTGTTTGTTTCATTTTACGCCTTTTCCAACAGTATTTCAGTCATATAGGCGGGTAGTTTCCTAACCATCGTTCCTGGAGAGTTACACCAGTACTAGACTACCTTCCTCCGCGCTACACATAAGTAAAACCGACATAATATAAGTCAACAAAGGTAATAAGGGATATCCCTACGTACGTAATGGGTGACAATGGTGGCGGAAATTGCTTAATATCGAATTACGGAAAAAGACTTTCTACATCACTTTTTTCAATAAGGACATTTGGAAACACTTTTTATCGTGTGTATTGTATTTACGTTTTAAAAGATATTGAAATGAAATGTCTATTCTCGGCCAGATTCCTCTAAAGACCTTGTAATTGTTTGTGGTTTTATATTATAAATGTTATGCTCAAATGAAGATGTATCAATATTGTAAGCTACAAAAAGCATTAATTGTAAAGATGTTACCGAATGTACCTTTCATGTAAATAATGGGAGGTAATTTGGAATTTATTTTTTATAAAGTCTTATACATTAAGACAAACAGTTGAGACTCTATATCCCTCCCACGTAAGACATCGAGGTACAAAAATTGTTCCAATATCTGCCTTGATTCGATTAAAGATCCTACATGTTGTAATTAAGGTTGTTACCACACTTAAGTAAAATTATATATATGAATATAATTATGCTTATAAAACAATTTTCAAACATCGAAGAACATTTGAAATATGTACTGCAAATATTTGTACATATTATATGTAATCATTAAAATATATGCATTCATTTCTTATTAAAAAAATTGACTTCGACTTTATAGAAAATAGTTTTTATTACCTCCATTTATTAACATGAAATGTTAAATTCGGTAATATCTTTATATATAATGCTTTTTGGAACTTACAAAATTGATCAATCTTAATTTGAGCATCAAATTTATGATATAAAACCACATATAATCAGTTTTAAAGTGATTGTCCAGCTTAAGTCCAAGAAGATCTGCGTTGATCTTAAAATATATGGTACACTCAGTCAAGTGCCACAGTCAAAACTCATGATGGTTATTTGACACGTGCTTATGTTTGTGATAATGTTTGTGAACAGTTGACCTAGCAATGAATGGAAAAGGTGTGGCTAAATGTTCCGCTACGAAAAACCGGAAAGGTCCATATCTTTTGCAAGTTATAGCCTAGATATTGATTCTAGTAAAACAAAATTATGATTGGTGTATTTAGTCTTTAACTTATCAGAATTTTGTATTTTTTTTATTTTAATTCTATAAACAAGAGCGATCAGTAATCACATGTGTCGCCTCATGATGGCCAAATTCATGTTGGGACAACTTTTGTGACAGACAGGCGGACAGTGCACAACTAGACTTGGTACTGATCATTCCTGTAAAGTTTGGATAAAATTGCACCAGTAGACTAGTTTATGAGGAGTAGTCCGGACAAGCTTTTGCGTATCTGGCAACACAAAGAAAAAAACACCTTTTTATCAAAGGGCCATAACTCGGCCAAAAATCATTCAACCGGAAAACCCGTGCAATATGCGCAAGGACTTGAGCTACAGATCAATCCTGTAAAGTTTCATTGAAATTGCATTAGTGGTATAAGAGAAGTAGTCCGGACAAACTTTAAAATTAAAAATTATTAAAGGGCCATAACTCTGACAAAAATCATTGAACCGGAAAATGCTGACAATATGCACAACTAGACTTGGTACTGATCATTCCTGTAAAGTTCGGATGAAATTGCACCAGTAGTTTATGAGGAGTAGTCCGGACAAGCTTTTGTGTATCTGGCAACACACAAAAAAACAACACCTTTTTGTCAAAGGGCCATAACTCGGCCAAAAATCGTTCAACCGGAAAACCCGTGCAATATGGGCAAGGACTTGAGCTACAGATCAATCCTGTAAAGTTTCATTGAAATTGCATAAGTGGTATAAGAGAAGTAGTCCGGACAAACTTTAAAATTAAAAATTATTAAAGGGCCATAACTCTGACAAAAATCATTGAACCGGAAAATGCTGACAATATGCACAACTAGACTTGGTACTGATCATTCCTGTAAAGTTTGGATGAAATTGCACCAGTAGTTTATGAGCAGTAGTCCGGACAAGTTTTGTGACGGACGGACGGACAGACAGACAGACAGACAGACAGACAGACGGACAGACAGACAGACAGACGGACAGACAGACGAAGGAGAAGTGATCCCTATATGCCGCCACTACTCCGTAGAGGCGACACAAAAACGTAAAAAAGTGTCTTGGATAGAGTTAAGCCCGTTATAGGTAACAGACCTCATGTGAATATATTACACCGTGTACTTCCAGTAACGCCGTAAATGAAATAACGCTAGATTCATGCAAAAAGTAACGCAGAGTTTTTAATGGAAGATTTCATCTCAGGTATTGTTAGTGGCAAATGTGGAAAAATATTTCGGTTATACAGGACAGGTATACAGGACAGGGTACTTGGCAAATGACTGTGCTTAAACATTTTGAAGCCGAGCAAATATGACACGTCATAGGAATGGCGTTTAACTAGTAAGGTTTGATAACATTCAAATACGAGTTTTCTACATATAATCACTTAGTTTTTTAAATACAAGACCTATTCTGATAGCATGTATGCTTTTTTATACCCCACGATATTATTATCTTGGCATGCAAAAGTTGCACAAATTCAACTCATATTTGACGCATGGATACAGCAGAGAAATATATAGTGGCTGATTTGTGCCATTCGTCTTTTCGCTTGCAGCCCTATAAAATGAAAGCGAGGAAAGTCACACGATGAAAGTGGTGAAACCCATATAAATAAAAGCGAGGATAGTCACTTGATGACAGTGGTGAAAACCATATAATGAAAGCGAAAATAGTCCACGATGTTAGATATGAAAGCCATATAATAAAAGCGAGGATAGTAACATGATGAAAGTGGTGAAAGCCATGTAATGAAAGCGAGGATAGTAACATGATGAAAGTGGTGAAAGCCATATAATGAAAGCAATGAAAGTTGTGAAAGCCATATAATAAAAGCGAGGATAGTCTCAATATATAAGAGAAAAATCTCACATCTTAAGTATATATTTTATAGTGAAAGCCAAACTGAGCAAATCTCAAACTTAATTTCTGAGTAGAAAAAAATCTCAGATTTGAGCTGAGATTTTGACTTTGAGAACGTTAGTGAAACCCGGGCCGGATAATGCAGCATGTCCAAAAGCGCAGCTAGTCCTGTATTGCAAAGTCAAAAAGCACAACATGTCAAAGAAGTGCATTAATTCATCCGTCAAAGCAAGTCCTTTTTCAAAATCAATGAGGCATAGTTACCTTAAGTAGTTGATCCACATATACTTACGTCCGTCACAAGGCAAAGGACTAACTAATATTAAATACGGAGTATTACAATTAAATACAATTATCTCCCTTCCAGATGGAAACGACATATAATTTCTGATAAACATTAAAGTTAAACACTTAAAACATTTTTTTATAACTATTTACTTTAATAATTAAACATTTGGTGTATATCGCCATTTATTGGGGCGTCCGTGGCCGAGTGGTTAAGGT